GGTGGGGTGACAAGAACATCCACAGCCTGGAGAAATGGGTCCCAGGAGGAGAGGAGGGGTCTGCTCCCTGCAAGGGATTGTGTCCATCATCCCATTTGCAGCCTGGACTAATTAGTAGTAGAAGCCTGTGCAGGGCCAGGAGTTGGACTCAATGATCCTCGTGGGTCCGTTCCAACTCAGGATATTCCCTGATTCTGATTCCCGGCTGCCAGATGCTTCCTGGCCCCGGGTCACTGCCCGGTGAGGCAGTGGCACTGACCAGGCTGCCCATGGCCACAGTCCATGTGCTCTCTGTCACAAACCCTCGGCTCCCAGTGCGGGGGGTCCAGGGGAGCAGCGCAGGGATGTCACCCACACTGGCTGTGGCCTGGCCACAGTGCCAGGGTTGCAGCACACAGCTCCAGACATGGATGTCCCAACCTGTGCCTCAGCTTCCCCCACACACTACAGGGATGAGGCTTCTCCCCACTGAGCCAAGAGTACAGTACAGGGACAGGGGAGTATCAGGATCACGCCCCAGGGCAGCCACCCTGTGCCTGCATCCTTGAGAGCAGGTTCCTGCACTGTGACAGAGGGCAAACGTCCCAGGGGTGTCAGGCTGTGTTCCCTGGGAGCAGGAGTGAGCCAAGCTGCCCATGTCAGGCCGTGCTGGGATCCAGCCTCGTGGCTGCAGCTCCACGTGGCTCGTGGCCCAGGACGGTTAATCCCGGCAGCTGCAGGGCTGGGCCCTCAGCACCCACCCCGGCTGCACGCGGAGCCAGCAGCACCCGGGGTCCCAGTGTCCCCCTCCATGGGCTGGGCTTCTGGCAGGGTGTCCCCCTCCACGGCCCTGGGGGGTCCCACATCTGCAGGCTCAGGGTGGGTGATGGAGAACAACCCTAAACCCCCTCCCTTCTCCCCGCAGGGCAAGGCGGGCTCGGTGCTGGCAGTGGGGGTCACAGGCCATGGAGCCGAGCCAGGAGGGTGCCTGAAGCTGCCAGAAGGAGCGTGAGGGGGTGGGGGATATGGAGCCCCCCAACAGCAGCGTGGCTGGGCCGACACACTCGTGTTTCGGGGTGTTCAACGCCAGCGACGGCCGCGCCAACGCGCGGAACAGCATCGCCTCGCCCTGGTTCTCCACGGCCTTCGGCCTCATCGGCCTCTGCTCCAACCTCTTCGCCCTCTGCGTCCTGCTCAGCTCCTCCCGCAAGCTCTCCAGCCACGCCCGCTCCTCCTTCCTCGTCTTCCTCTGCGGGCTGGTGGTCACGGACTTCATGGGGCTGCTGGTGACAGCCTCGGTCATCATCCCCTACCACTTCATCAAGTTCCCCTGGGCCGAGGTGGACCCCGACTGCCACCTCTGCAACTTCCTCGGCTTCTCCATGGTGTTCTTCGGGCAGTGCCCGCTGCTGCTGGGGGCCACCATGGCCGGGGAGCGGTTCCTGGGCATCAACCGCCCCTTCTCCCGCTCCACCAGCATCTCCAAGCGCCGTGCCTGGGCCATGGTGGGGCTGGTGTGGGGCTTCTCCTGCCTGCTGGGGCTGCTGCCGGTGCTGGGGCTGGGCCGGTACACGCTGCAGTTCCCCGGCTCCTGGTGCTTCCTCACCCTCCTGCCCGACACCGGCGACATCATCTTCTGCCTGCTCTTCGCTCTGCTGGGGATCCTGTCGGTGCTGCTCTCCTTCATCCTCAACACCATCAGTGTGGTCACGCTCTGCCGCGTCTACCACGACCGCGAGTCGGTGCAGCGGCGCCGCGACAGCGAGGTGGAGATGATGGTGCAGCTCGTGGGTATCATGATCATCGCAACCATCTGCTGGATGCCCCTCCTGGTGAGGCCCCTGACCTGATGCCCCCCCATCACCGCTCCTCCATGTCCCCCCTGGGTCTTGGTGTCCCCCCTGCTCCTCCTTGTGGGGCCTCAGCCTTGGTGTGTCCCCCCCTCTGCCCTCCTCCATGTCCCTCCTGGGTCTGGGGGTGTCCCCCTGCTCTTCCCAGTGAGGTCCAAGGTCTCAGGGTGTCCCCATCACGTTCCTGCTGGTGAGGCTCTAGGTCTGGGGGTGTCCCCTTGGTGAGGCCCCCCTGGGTCTCAGTGTCCCCCTGTGCCACCTCTCTGCACTCCACATTGGCCCTTGGGTTATGGGCTCTGAGGCTCAGCATTGCCTGCAAGCAGAGCAGGTGCTCCCCGGTGCCCAAACCAGCCTGGGACCTCCTTCCAAGGGGCTCAGTGCCTGGACCCTCATCATTTCCCCCACCCCACGCAGCTCACAGACCCCCCAGTGACGCTTTGCCCCTTTCCCTCCCCCAGATCTTCATCGTGCAGACGGCGCTGCAGCACCTGCCCGGCGGGCGGGCCCAGGAGCTGCCCACGGACACGCAGGAGATGCTGCTCATCTACATCCGCATGGTCACCTGGAACCAGATCCTGGACCCCTGGGTGTACATCCTGTTCCGGCGGGCGGTGCTGCACCGCGTGTACCCCCGGCTGCGCCCCCGGCCCTCCATCGTGTCCCTCACCCCCTCCCTGCGCCGCAAGCTCACCGCCGGCTCCGTCCTGCAGTAGCGCCCCCGGGACGGGGGGACACGGCCGGGCCCCCATCCCGTCCCATCCCCTCCGTGCGTCCCCATCACCCGCATCCAGGGGCTCTCCCTGCCCCCCCCGAGCCCTGGCAGGGGGCACAGGGCCGCTCCCCCCTCCCCGTCCCCAATAAAGCACAGCTCGTGCAGCTCTCGGTGCTCGCTGGGGGTGAACACCCGGGGGGGGACCCTGGGAGAGGGCCCAGCCCTGCTGACAACCACAGCAACAGCCCTTCTCCTCCAGCCTCTGCTTTAATGACCCACAGCCACTGCCCACCACGCTTTGGGGGTTCTCGGGGAGGTGGGTGGGCTGGTGCCCTGCTGCCCCCCAACCCAGGGGACAGACCTGGGTGCACTCCGGAGGGTGTGGGGCACAGGATGGGGACCCCCACCAGCACTGCCAGCCCCAGGTGGGGTGGGGACGA